TTGTCTCAAAAAGCCTCGCCCTAGGGTTGAGGCTTAAGGAGCTGAGGTGAGAGTTAAGATATAAGGAATAGGAGAGTGCAGGATCTTAAGTTAAGAGTGGAAGTGAACCTTAGAAGCCATGTGTAACAAATGAGGAAGCCAAGGCTTACAGAAGTAAAACTACTTCCCCAAGGTATGACAGTGGGAATTGGAGAATGGGGGGAAGAAAAAAAGAAGCATCAAGAATGATGGCTTAGGAAACTTTTAGGTCTGCAGTTGTCCCTGTTTTTTTCCACCCACTTTTAAAAATGCAAAAGTCACAAAAGAACAAATGATGGCCTGCTGGACAGTAATGTAATCTTAACATATCAGCCAGGTTAGGCATATTTAGTATAGGAAAAAGAGCAATGGGTTCAGAATGGGTAGGCCTAGAACCAGGTCTGATACTTTGAAACTGTGACTGTGACCATATTACTTAGCACCTCCAAGCCTCAATTCTCTCATCCAGGAATAATAATACTCATAAGTCACAAAGTTGTTGTAAAAAAAGTGTTTGGTTTAAAAAAACAGCTGAAGTGCCACATAAATGTTAGGTCAGTAGTAATAATAATAACACTAGTGTCAGGCAATTCTACTTTTTTCCATCCCCTACAGGGAATTGTAGTCAAGAGGGTGGCTCCTCATGATGGAAGAAGAGTTGGTGCATAGCTCCACTCCACCTTCTTTTTCTGAAAAGATGCCATTGTAAATCCAGGAGCTCCTGTGCATTTTGGGGTGCAGCAGGCATGTAGGAATCATTGCCATGTCAGCTAACTGGAAAAATTGTGGTAGTATTTGGTTAGATTGTAAACACTGTTAGCTTTACCCAAATGAAATAAGGGAGAAATAGGGATAACTGTAAAGTTAATTTGTATTTTATTGGTGGTGGCCCACTAAATGACTGTTCTGTATAAATGAGCAAGTAAAATTTCATGTGTGTTTACCTGAGGTGTTACCACGAAGTTTCAGTCAGCAATTCTCTCAGGTGGTATATTTTTATTATTGCAATGTCTTTATAGCATATTATAAATCTTTAGTAATTTTTGGTTCATTTTACATGTACTGTTTTATCTTCATTTCAATAAGCTTTTCATTTCAACCCTCTGCTCACAGAATTCTAGACGGTATAAGAAATAGGAAAGAATATAAAGTTCTTGTCCTCAGAGTACTCCCACTCTTTTAAGGGAATCTTTTACGTAACAAATAAGGGAGATAATAATAATTTGAGAGAAGTCTGTCTATGTTGCTTTACAAAAGAAGCAAATGCAGTTAAAAGCATATGTACACACACCCCAACACCATCACTATGCTTTGTTTTAAACTTTTTCTGTTTCTCACAGAAATTTGATAGGGGACCTTTTATGTTATCCAACAGAATGCAGTAGTCTCACGTAAAGAAAGGTGTGGATTCCTATTCTCCTTATTACAAAATATTAATTCTGTTAGAAATCTAAAATTGTTCACAATCTAGCTCCTCCTTGAGGTATTTCACATTGCTCTTCCTCATATACTGTAATATTCTGCCAAACTGACAACTTTAAAAAATCAATCTGCCAACCAAACTGACCCATCAACTAAGCTTTTATTATATATTATATACGCACAATGCTATACTCTGGGGATACAAAGAGAAAAGAAAAAAATTAGTCCCTGTCCTCAAAGACCTGCTATACTAATGAGGAAGAGAATATGTATTTTTAAAAGTATATAAAAGATACACATGGTGTAGGTGTAAGGTACCTCAGTAGAGGCAGAAGTGGGGGGGGAGAATCATAAAAAGGCCTCCTGCAGAAAGCTGAATTTGAGTTGAGTTTTGTGAAGAGTGAAAAAGTCCAGGGATGGGGAGCAGGCAGGGCAAAGCCAGGAAGTTCTGAGTGGGAGGAATAGACTGTATGACTGAATCACAATACATAACAACTGGAGAAATTAGTAAGAAGGCTAGAAAAATAGGAAGGGGCCAAGTTGTAAAGAGTTTTAAATGCCAACAGAGGAGTTTACTAGATCCACAACAAATCTGTTACTTTAATATTATGTAACATGTTCTCAACACACCAATGGTGCTCTCAATGCAACAAGGCAATCTTTTTAACACTTCCTTAAACAATTCCCTCATCCTCTCACTACAAGCAGCTATTTGACATCTTTTCATTCCTGCTGAAGCCATCCACAACTTTAGCCTCGCCCCCTACTCTCTTCAGCTGAGGACCTTGCCTCACTCTTCACTGAAAAACTGAAGCCATTCCCCAAGAACTCTCTCTTCTTCCCTCCTCCAAATCTCACATTGCTCAAATGTTCTCCCTCACTATCGCCTCCTTTACTCCTATCTCAAATGAAGAAGGTCCTTCTTCCTTGACAAGGCAAACTCTTCTTGCACTCTTGATCCCTTCTCCTCCTGTCTTCTTCAGCAGACTGCCCCCTTTATCACCCCCACTCTTTGGCTAGCCTTCATTCTCTAATACTTCTTTCATCCTTAGCCGCCACCTGAAATATGTTTAATATGATTGTATATGTGTAGCCTATATCAGATTGCATGCTGTCTTGAGGAGGCAGCATTTAGAAAATTTACAACTAAAAAATTTTCGAACTCAAAATCTTATAAAAGTGAATGTTGAAAAGTTTTATTTATATATCTATATATCTATATATCTATATCTGGTCCTCACCTGATCTTGCCATTCTTGCTAGCTATCATCCTATATCTCCTCTTCCTTTTCTGATTAAATTCCTTAATTGGTGCTGCCATTTCCTCTCCTGTCATTCTATTCTAAACTCTCCACTTCTAAGTTCATCATTTAACTAAAATAGCTCTCTTTGAAGATCTCTTAGTTGCCAAATCAAGTGGCCTTTTTTCTCAATCCTCATGCTTTTTTGACCTCTCGGCATCCTTTGACACTGTGGATTATCCTCTTCCTGATATTCTTTCTTCTCTTTGTTTTCATCAAGTTGCTCTCTCATGGTTTTACATGTCTGACCTCTCCTCAGGCTCCTCTGCCGGATCTGCATTTAGGTCATGCCCATTAACCTCCCAATGTCCTTCAAGAATCTATTTGGGACCCTCTTCTGTCATCTATATTCTTTCACCTATTTGTATGATTGGCTATGGATTCAATTATCATACGTGTGTAGATGATTTACAGATTTATTTATCCACCTCTAATGTCTCTCTTGAACTCTAGTCTCAAATAACCAGATGGATATCTCAAAACCACACTATTATATCTTTCCCCCAAACCTTCTGAATTTCTCTATTATTACTGAGTGCAACACCACCTTTCCAGTCACTCAGGCTTGACACCTTAGCGTTATCCTTGATGCCTTATTTACACTCACCCCACATAACAAATCTGTTTTCAGGTCTCCCTATCTCTGTCTTCACAATAATTCTTCCATATGTTTCCTTCTCTCTACTTAGCCACCACCCTGGTATAGCCCCTCATCACCTCACTTCTAGACAACTACAATTGCAATAGCTTTTTGGCTGGTTTCTCATCCAGTGAAGCTGGCTTTCTTGTGGTTCCTTGAACATGACAGTCTACTTCCTGATTCTGCATCTTTTCAATGAGTGTCCCCTATGCTCTCCCTCCTCGTTTTTATCTCCTGATTTCTTCCAAGATCCAGTTCAAATCCTACCTTCTGTAAGAGATCTTTTCTGGTTACTGCCCTTCCTTCCCTGCCCCTCCCCCAAAAAACTGGTAGTGATTTCCTTCTGAGATTACCTTCCGTTTATACTACAGATATCCTGTATGTAGACAGCTATTTGTATGTTATTTCCTCCATTAAGACGTGGTCTCCTTGAGGACAGGATTCATATTTTTGCCTTTCTCTGTATCCCTAGCACTTAGCACAGTTCCTGCCTAACTTAAGGTATGAAGGGGGCAATAAATAAGAAAGCATAAGTAAAGGCATGGAGGCAGGAATACACAAGGGAGTTTTTTGGGAAGAATGAAAAGATAGATCTCAAATTAGAGATTACTGAAAGAAGTGATGGAAGGCCAGGTTACAATTCGTCAGGCAAAAGGAATCAGATGATTGATTCTTGGGCAAGAGAAGACACAATCAAATTAGTGTAGGACAGACTGGAGAGGGAAGAAGATAGAGGTGGAAAGACCAGTAAGGGGGCTATTATAATAGTACAAGTCAGAAGTGATGAAGGCATGTGAGTGGGGAGAATGGGATTGATATGAAAGATTCCACAGGGGTAGAATCCACATGATTTGACAACTGCCTGGAAGTACTGTTGGTTGAGGACAGAGAATTAAGAGATAAGAATTAAGAATAAGAGATGAGGCTTCCAAGGTCATGAACCTGAGTAAATGGAAGGATGAAGAGGTCCTTGACAGAGGAGGAAAGATAGAGAAGAGTTTTTGCATGGGAAAGAGGATTGAGCTTTTTTGGACATGATGCATTTGAGATGTTTATGGAACATCCAGTTCAAAATATCCAGTAGAAAGCAATATAGGACTAGAGATGTAAGTATAGGTGTCACCTGCATAGAAATGATATTAGAATCCATGAGAATTGATGAGACCACTAAAGGAGAGTGTGGAGAGAGTCAACTGCCCAGAACAGAGCATGATACACCAATGTATAGAAGGCAGGGCTTGCATGATGATCCAGCAAAGGACACTGAGAAGGATCAGTCTTAATATAAGTAAGAAACCCACTAAAGAGTAGCATTATAACCCATACAGGGGGTCATCAAGAGTGTCAAATGCGGTAGAGAAGTTAAAAAGGATGAGGATTGAGAAAAGGCAACTGGATTTAGTACTACAACTTATCAGTGACCTTGATGTAAAGTTTCAGTTGAATAGTGAGGACAGAAGCCAGATTACTTGCAAGGAAATGAGAAATTGGTAGAAAATTTGAAAATGGAGGCAACAACTGAAGATGGGTTCCCCCTGCTAAGAACTGTGCTATAAAAGAGATGGAAGATAATGGACAATAAGATTTCTTAGCAATCGCCTAAATTTTTTTTTCCCCAGCATGGACCTCTGTCTTTGGTGTTGCAGACTACTTGCATTTACACATGCTGTTGATCTCTCAACTGAATCAGATGAGGAGGTAAGAATCTTCTATAAGAGAGTGTTTTTCTCATTGTTTCTATAAAACACAACTAACTACATTCCAAATCCCACTGGTTTGTCACATATAAAATCATAGAATCTCAGAGGTCATCTAGTCCAAGTCACTTAAAACACAAATCTCTCTCCTGTTTTCATAAATTGTTTAATTCTTGAAATTGGTTAGGATTTTGTATCTCTATCATTTTCCATCACAAAACATGGACACAAATCCAAAGCAAAAAAATATGTATTTTAAAATATTTTTAGTGGTGAACTCTATATTGTTGAATATAAAAATCTCAATTTCATCCAGAAATGGAAAACCCCCATTTAGGTACTGAACTATCTGGTCTGAATAACCTTAGTTTATTTATATTATGGGACTTAGGATCCAGAATCTTTAGATTTTAAAGTTTTGGTCCTGATTCTAAGCTCTCATCTACAAGCTCAATCAATCAATTAATAAGCATTTATTAAGTATCCATTATGTACTGAAAACTGGGGAAAAGGCAAAAAAAATGAAAAAAAAATCTTAGCCCTCAAGGAACTTATATTCGCTCAAATTCCACACCATGCTTCTAACATTCCGTTATGCAGAGTACAGCCCATTTATGGCTTGGTAGATATGTCCTAGAGATTTGGCAGAAGCACAAGGAAATTTAGTGACCTTACCAGACACATGGCTATTACATGGTTGAGACAAGATTTGAATTTAATCTTCTCAACTTGAAGGTGAACATTATATCCACCATGTCATACAGTCTATATTACAATACTAGAAATAAGGAAACTGATCTTGAATGGAGTTTGAGGGAAATACAGTAACATTTCTTTATCTTTTCTCCATTAGCGGGACCAATTTCACCATGTTCATTCTAATTCAGTCCAGGAAAACTGTACCCATTAAATTAAAAGCTATACTTTGATTTAATATCTTTAGTCATATGAACTCAAAGTACTTTTACTTCTTCTTTTTTTTTTTGCTTTGTCACTGGATAGATGGAGGCCAGAATGATTATACTTATATAATTTATATAACTTATATAATTTATATAAAGGGTAAATGAAGTAGAGACTAAATGAGTTACTGAAAGTAGGATATTAGTTAGTAAAGGAGCTCTGCCTAAAATGGAAATACACTTACTTGAAGTCCATCCAGTATATTTCTCTTATACAGCTATAATATATGCCCCAGGGTATAATCCACCACTAAGATGCTAGTTCCTTAATGTCTTCTATTTATTATTCAGAAAAGGTAGTTGACTTCCCCTTATACTGCTTATTTGGTTTGCCTAGGGGTCCCTATTCAGTTTAAGGAATTAATTTTCTTCCCCCTTTCATAAAAGTGAAGAGAACATCTGATGGAACAGAAAGCTCTTAATCTTATGAGATTTTTATGCACTGTTTTTGACCACATTCTTTTTTTAAAGAAAAATTCCCTTGATCTCTGGAATAGAAGTTTAATCTTAATTTTTATTAAATGAAATCAAAATCCCTCAAACAACATTTTATTTGATGAATTTAACCACAAGCTCAATGAGAGGGCATAAGAACACAGGTAAAGAAATAATGGTAGAATTCTGGTATACAAAATAGCCTTGGGGACTCTTTTGGCTGAAGTGGTCACCAGAACTGTCTCTTCAAGGAAGAATGAGTATGCTTCCTGCACTGCTCAGGAAACAATGGACATCTAATTTATTATTGTTATTTATCTCTGGGATAGAGCAGGCTGGACAATTACTGGAAAAAATCATGACACATGACAATGGCTGATTTCTGTCCAAACAAGCTCAGGAGGCTCAAGAGTTAAGAAAGAAGCATTACTCCTTTCAAAAGGATGATCTAGGTTCCCAGCAATAAACTGTGGCTTTGAAAAAAAATGCTTTGATAGGAGGTTTCAGTTGATGTTTTGCTCAATTTCCTCATAAAACTAAAAAACTTCTTCAATAAAATACAAAACAAACCAATATCAAAATCTAAACCACAACATGATGACAATAGAAAAAAAAAGCATAGAGATTACAGAATACTCTGTCCAAAATCTACCTTGAAATGATTTGCCTTCAACAAAATCCCACAAGGAGCACTAACTATGCCATTAATGTGCATAAAACATTACTGACATATTGCAAAACTCAAGCTAATTTAATAATGCCTGATGTGCCTTACATCATGTTCAGATGATGTAATAATATGTTGCTAAATGAGTCACCTCACATTAGCTTCATGGCGATAGCATAACTGATGGGCCATTAAAAAGAAACTGGTGTAGCAATATTACTGGAAACATTGATGGATCATTTTGCAATTGAATTTTTTTTTATTGATCCAACACACGGAGGGTGTAGGGCCAACATCTTTATTAACAATAGGTACAATATTTTAAAAATAGTCACAGTCAAAACTAAGTGAAAAATCCATCTATCATTTCAGCATAAAGTATTTTACACTTTTTTTTACAGACTGAGTGAAATGTAATTAAGGCCACACAGCATGTGGTTGCTTCCAGGCCATTATATCTTTTTGCAATCATACATTTTGTAGAAAAATGACTGGCATCAATTAAATTCCTACATTTTGGATATTTTATAAACTTGAAAATCCAAATATACAAGTTCAACTAAATTCATGTTTATATGAAGCTAAGGCTAAGCTGGGCAACACCAACAGATGTGATTACATTTGTCTAAACTGAGTTAACATTGCTCATTTTTCCTCATTATTTACTCTATATCATCTTTCTGCCTTTATCTGATACTCTTTTTTCTCTTTTGTTTTTCTCATCATTTGACTATTAGCCAGACTTTTAATTACATCAAAGAAGAATAAGATTGACTTTCATATTTCAGAAGATTCATTATATTCTGTTTTCAGTCAAATGCTTCCCAAATGACCCTTAATTTTGATTTTTAGAAAATGTTCGTGAGGAATGGCTTCACAGTTAAGAATCAGCATTCTGACCTTTATGGAAAAGATATATTAGGTGTTCAATTTCCATTTCTCCTGTGATAGCTTTTAAAAGAAACACAGGTTCTATTCCTTATAGGAAAGAAATTCTGAATGGCTAAGTGGTTTTTGGCTAATTGGTTTGTCTTAAAATTTTATACCTCTGCTCAAAATATATATGAGCACACTTAAAGTGATTCAATTGTGTCATCAATCATTTACATCATATAATACACCAATTTAAATATGAGTACAACAACAAATAAATGCATAGACGCATCTTTTTAACTATGTACCCAAAAAACCCCTCCAGAGTAACTTTAAAAATAACATTTTAGAGCATTAAAAAGAAACCTTGTCTATGTATGTATGAATATTTCCCTTGCAGAGGCAGCTAGGTGGTAGAGTGGATGGACATGGAGTAAGGACAACTTGAATTCAAATCCAGCCTCAGACATTCTCAAGTTGTTCGATCCTATGCAAATCACTTAATTCTGTTGGCTCTGTTCTGTAAAATGGGGATAATAATTGCACCTACCTTGCAGGGTTGTTGTAGGAATCAAATAAGATAATATTTACAAAGCATTTGCTTACATTAAAGTGCTTAAAAATGCTAGGTATCATTATTGCTATTAGTACTACAACTAAACATGTAGCAATTCATATGAAGACTACAGCATATAACATTCTCCTCCACCATCTAAAGATGATGGGAAGCTCATATTCTAACCACTTTTGTCAGTCATAGTCAATGTAAAAAAAAAAAAAGGAACAACCAAAAAACCAAGCCTCCCTCCACACATCCAAACCACTGCCAAATCCTGTCATTTTAACCTCCACCTTTCTTGCTTATATCACCTTCTTTTGACCCACAGAGTCACCACTCTCACTCAGGTTATCATCATCTCTTGGTCAGACTAACAGCTTCTTAATTGGTTTTCCTACTTCAAATCTCTCCCTATTCCAATACATCCCTCCATGCAGCTGCCAAGGTAATGTTACCAAAGAATTTCTTTGGTGTCTAGCACATACCGGGCAGTTAATAAATACTTGTTGACTAAAACATGTTTGACCACATTTCCCCTTCTTCCCTTCGATATTTCCAGGATAAATTTCTGGTGTTTGGTGTTTTAAAGCTCTCTGTCACTGGCTTCATTTATGTTACATATTACTTCTCTCTATGTAATCTGAAGTCCAGTCAAATTAGAATTCTTGCTGTTCCTCACATACAGACACTCCATCACCACACTTCTGTGCTTTTTCACTGGCTGTCTCTTAAGTCTGGAATGCATTTATACCTCATCTCCATTTCTTGGAATCCCTGGTTTCTTGTAAGACTCAGCTAGTGGATGAACTGATACTGAGTGAAGTGAACAGAACCAGGAGAACATTGTAAACAGTAATAGCCACGTTGTGTGATGACTGTAACAGACTTATCTCTTCTTGGCAACTCCAAAAGACTCATGATGGAAAATGTTGTCTACATCTAGAAAAAAGAATTATGGAGTCTGAATGCAGATCGAAGTATATTATTTGTGCACTCTCTCTTTTTTTTCTTCTTTCTCATGGTTTGTCCCATTCTTCTTTACAATGTGACTATTGTGAAAATAGATTTAATATGAATGTAAATGTTGAGCCTATATCAATTTACATGCTCTCTTGGGATAAGGGGGGGGAGGGGAGATGGGGAGAAAATTTGGAACTCAAAATCTTATGGAAGCGAATGTTGAAAACTAAAAGTTGAATCAATAAATTTATTTAAAAAAGACTCAGCTAGTGGGTGAGGGCCTCCTAGCTGTTTCTCTCGCAAGATCTCCACCACCAGACTGGGCATTTTCACTGGCTGTTCCCCATGCCTGGAATGTTGTCCCTTCTCATTTCCACCTCCTGGCTTCCTTCAAGTCACAACTAAAACTTCTTTCTGTTGATTATCGCTCATTTATCCTGTATATATCTTGTTTGTACATTGTTTTCATGTGGGTCTCGCCCATTAGTGTGTGAACTAGCTCCCTGACAGCAAAGACTACCTTTTTGCCTTTCTTAGTATTCTCA